TAAGATATTTGAGAAAATTCTACTATTATGATCATTTAAAATAAATGATTTTAATCCTAGTATTCTAATAATTATAGTAAATAGAAAATATTCTGAAAATGATTGTCTATTTATAGAATTTTTATATTTTAAGTATAATATTTAAAAATTTACTAAATTGGTCTTTATATAAAATTAATAAATCTTAAATATTAATTACAAATTAAAAAAAAAACATGAACCGGAAGACTTCCAAAAAGTCTTCCGGTAAACAAACGAAAAAATATGTACCGAAAGACTTCCAAAAAGTCTTCCGATAAACATACTAAAAAAATGTGAACCGGAAGACTTCCAAAAAATCTTCCGGTAAACAAATAAAAAAATATAAAAAAAACTAAAAAATAATAAATTTTTATACGAGGATATTTTGGTCCAAAATTTTTTAATGTAGGAGTATAGGTATAAGTGTAGGGGTATGGGGTAAAACTTCCAAAAGTTAGTCATCGCAAATTCGTATGATCATGGTTGTCAAAATGTTTAATGCATTAAATATATTTTGTATATATTTAAGTGGAAGTAGTAAAACTACAATTTAAAGAGTTCATATTTGCTCCATTTAGTCTTTGCTCTATTTATTCTTGTTCAATTTATTGATACTTGACACGTGGTTAAAAAACAAATAAATGGTTTTGATTTAAAATATAAAAATCAACATTATAAAAATATCAATCCTATTTTTTCGTGAAAACCTATTGTTATTAGTGAAAAACTGCTCCTCTTCTCCAAACCTATTCCTCTTTTCCATCAATTTCCACTGCTTTAATATAAAACTAACATAAATTACAATCACCATAGTTGCAGAAAGAGCAAGAGAAATTGATTTGTACTTTAACTTGTAAGAAATTACTGGAAGAAAGTGCAGCAAGAGAAGGGGGAAAATAAAATGAAACGAAAAAAGGGTGATGATTACAATGTTACAAACATTAAACCTAAAAAAAATAAAAGTAACTCATGTTCAATCACAATGGTGGTGGTAATCTTAATTACTTATGATGAATCTCAAATTGAAAAAGGGAATAACTGCAAAACATGATAAACAATTACCTAAAGAATAGAGAAGACACAATGATGTGTGGTGGTAGGGGAAGAACGGTTTAGTTGAGTTCAAGTAAGAGGGGGAGGAACATTGCAGTGAGAGACACCACACACTATATAAATCTTGTATTACTGTTTTTTTTCATAATGATTTTTACAGTTTTGATCTTGTCTGTTGAACTTTTTTAACGTCACGTGTCAAGTATTTAAAAAACAAACCGAATAATTGGATGCTACATAAATGGAGCGGATCCAGACTCCAATTTAAAAGGGCTAGCAAATGAAAAGTGACATAAAATTTGTGAATATGACAAAATGAATGACAAAAGTGTCATGATGATAGTTTATCAAAATTATCAAGAATATAAATTTATTTTGTATGTGATAATTGTACTACAATGATAAAAATGTCATGTGTTGATGATGGTTGAAATATTGTCACGAGTATATAAAATAATCATAGGAATGCCTATTTCCTATTTGAAATAGTAAATATTCAAAGTTTATTAAAGTTTGGAAAATATAGCAATTCTTTGACGAAAGGATTGACAAAGATATGATGTCTTTGGCTATAATTGAAGACATCATTAGGGATGTGGAACAAGCTCATATCTAATTAATCATCAATAGTGGAAACTCAACTCACACTTGATTAACGTTAAGTCTTGAGTTCTATGATGAAAGTACACTATTAGAGTGATTGAAGTACTTGACAATAGATACATCCCAAGGGTAAAAGTACTTGGACCATAAAATAAATGTGAAAGAATGAGGTTTTCCTCTTAATGGACATATAACATATGTTTGCTGGAATGCATAATTATGGGTGCATTTTTGATATAGTCTACCTATATGAGAATGAAGTGGTGCCGCTTCATAGAGTTCAAGGGCTTGACTCTTAAATTCTCATGAAAAGGATATGAGACACAAGACCTTATTAAATGTGTCATATTGATAATTCGATCAATGATACCGAGATTTCATGCGTGAGTTATGCACGCTTGTTCTAATGAATAATTGGTTCAAAGCTTGTCTACCAATTTATTCAGGGATGGGTGAAAACTTAACTTACTAAGTAATGGTTCAAATCATAAGATACCTTTATCTGAAAGTGAAACCATAAAATTTCTTGAATAATGGATTTAGATATATTTTGAAAATGGTGGGGGATTGTTGGAGAAATTTCCAAAATATTAAATTGATAAATAATAATGGTTAAATTAACAAAGTAAATGGTCAAAAGTTGCAACTAACTAGAATAGAATCAGAGATCCTATAATGATTGGGTGCATGGTCATAAGGTGTAACCACCGTATTAACATAACTTTTCATGAAAATGTTTGTTGCTATTGATATACAATAGTTCGCGAATGTTCATGTTGAAACCATTGAAACATTGTTTCTCCACACCAATTGGTACAAGTTTTTTTTATAAATAGAGATACTTGTTGTTATGCATAAAATATACACAAAAACTATTTATTTCAAGTGGCAAAAATTATATCTAAGTCATTATTTCATTTTTCTAGTGCGCGAAAATAAATGAGAAAACTTTATTCTGTAAAATATCATTGATAGATATGCTTAGTATGAATGTGCAATTCATGTTAAAGTTTTCAAAGAATTCTGAAGGAGATTTTTCGATTAACCCATTTGCATAAATTGGCGGGGGCGAATCAAACCTAAAGTTTAGTGTAAACACACGCTTTGGAATTATTTTGTACAACTTTCATCGTGCCGTCTTCATCATCTTCTTCTGGTTCATATTTTACAACAGACTCCAACACAAGATCTAACATTTAAGATCTCACCATCAGCGAGTCGATGATTTTGAATTGGACTTACAATTATTTGATGTTCTTAACTTCATTAAATACATTTATAATATATTAAATCTAAAGCGCACATTTTCATGTTAATATTTCATCTTCATTTGTGTCACATCACTAATATTCCTACATGGAACCTCCCAGAACTCATATTCACTTCTCAACGACTAAACCACAAGATCCACAAGATCACCGGTTCAAATCCTAACAAATACAAAAATAATTTAACACACACACACACACATACACAGACACACACACACATACACAGACACACACACACACACACATACACACGCGCACACACACACACACAAACACATACACATATACATCCTTAGTTCCAAAAGACTGGTATAAAGCGTCAAAAGCTTGAGTTCTTGTTTCACCCACTGCCTTTTTGGTCTCTCGTGTGACTTCTTCTCTTTATTGTCATATTGACTCTTGCATCAATAACCAATACCCTATGACAGGTAGTCAAGCTCTCTTCGTGTATAACTTTATAATCCAAGCTAATCTTTTTATCTAATGTCCTAATTAAGAAATAAATATATTTGAGAACATGTCACCTCATTCTTATATGTAATAAATTTCTAATCTCTTTTAATAAAATACATATTAGATATATAATAAGATCAAAAGTCGACGAGAACTCCAAGATGAAATTACCTTCCACATTTAGCTCTCTGAGATCATATCACCCGTGCACACCCTCAAAACCTCTTGTCACGCTCACCACATGCCCATTTAAATCCCCTCCTAGAAAAATATTTCTCTCCTTAGGGTATATCCTGAAATAAGCCTTCTAAATCTTCCCAAAACTTTACTATACTGTGTTATGCTAATCCGACATGAGGTGTGTAAACATTGATAACATTAAAGGTGTCTGGTTCCACTACAAGGCTATGATCTTATCTTATACTATTTTCACATCCATAATATTCTTCATCCACTTTTTGTTTATAATAATCCTAACTCCATTTCTCAATCTAATTTTTTCGTGTACTAAAGCTTAAAATTTAAGTTGTCGAATTCTATCACTTTTTCAGCCATCTAGTAATTATGTCTGTATTATGTGTTCCAAAATGAATCATATTGCCATGAAAATGTGGGAACCTTTGCTTATTTTTCACTACATTCAAGTGACGATGCAACACCGCACTCGAGCCATACAACACGCTGCTTCTGGACAACAACTTAACATTTTTATTATTATATAATTAACTCATCTCATAAAGATTCAACACAATTTTATGTTAGTTGTTGACGATATAACACATGTACAACCTTCTTCTTGAGGGAATATACATATAGTATATTTTAAAATAAATGAACATTTTACATACATAGTATCTATTAGGGGTGGCAAACGGATATGCCTACAGATTAGTCCGTTCTGCAAAAGCTCACAAAAAATGGAATGGAGTAAGACATACATCATTTAGAGGTGAAAAACAAGTATATCGACCGTTTAACCTTAAAAGTTACAAAAATTTATATTATTTGTTGTATTCGTAAAAGTTCACAAAACAAATAAAACAGGATAAGACGAACATAATGGAGAGTAAGAGACTAAAATCTTAATTCATACTGCAAAACTGTGCGAGCAAAACAAACATACTCAATTAGTCAGATCGTTTTGCCAACCCTGAAATCTATCAAATTCATTGTTTATGTTAAGACAAGTTGATTAATACTTTAAGTGAAAAAAGAATAATTAGACATATTCATTACGACAGCTAAAGATGAAGTTAGGCATCAGATAGACGAATTAATTTAAGTTTAAGATTGGGATTCTAAAATCGACATACATTTAACAACGTTATCTCCACATGTCATAAGGTGAATGGTTATTTAGATATTCTCATCATCAATCTTAAATCTCCCAAATTAGTTGACTACCACTTCACCAATTCCAATTTCAACCTCAAACTCAAATTTCATCATCTTGTCGCATAGTACAAACCACACAATCACATATAAAACACACGAATCTTTTGTTCTTGTTTTTGTTGTTTCACCACAAACTCAATATGAACATCGTCATCATCATCATCAACAACAACACAAATTCATTTTGAATTCTTTCTCTATTGAATGGAGCTTTCTCTTACACTTACACCAAACCCTTCTTCATCTTCACTTGTTCACTTCTCTAACAAGCTATGTGAGTTTCATCAAAGGAAGAAAAGGGTTTCTTTCTTTGATGCTTCGAGAGTAGTTTCGCTTCGGTGTGTTAAAGCTTCTGCTGAGCGAACCGGTGAGGCTATTGATGACAGAGGAGAGACTCGAACCGGGTTCACTGCACCGGCTGCTATGGAGGTCACCACATTCAACCAAGGTTTCAATGATGCCGCCGCTGCTGATTTTCCTGTTTGGGAAAAAATTGGTGCTGTTGTGAGACTCAGCTATGGCATCGGTGAGAGTTCTGATATCTTGATGCTAAAGTGTGGAACTTTATAGATACCCTTTTGTTTACTTTTATGAAAAATGAATCTTTGGCTAATTGGGCTAAATCTAAATATAAAAGGAAAACTTTATGTTTTCTTTTTTGATTGAATCAGTGTTTTTCCAAAATGGGAAATTTTTAGTTTGTTTATGGAGAATTCATTCACTTGAATTAGAGTATTTGCATCAATTTGGTTTTCAATGAGTTTTTTTTTGTTTCAGGGATTTACGGCGCGATGGCTGTTGCGGGAGTTTTATATGTTCTATTACCGGAATAGACTCTCTTGGAGGTTTTCATCTTTCAATAGATGCTGTTCTTGAAGGTCTTGGATATGCAGTTCCTCCAATTATGGCTCTTCTTTTTATACTTGATGTAAGTTCTTCTTTTGTTTATACAATGATGATAAGTTTGGGATATTGTTGTTCGAGTAGAGATATAATTGCGAAACTTGTAAGTTTCTCTTTGTTTACTCGAATTGAGCTTTCATCAACATGGTTATTATTAGGATGAAGTTGTGAAACTATCGCCCCATGCTCGTGCCATTAGAGACGTAGAGGATGAAGAGCTATGGAGTTTTTTCTATGGCATGTCCCCTTTGCAGGTAATTTGATATAACTCGGTACCTTTTATAGAATGAATTATCGTCGATCTATTGCAATTTGCAACCATTAAAATTGATATAATTGATTTTAATTTACAGTTTATACTTATGGTTGCTGCAAGTTCAGTGGGAGAAGAGCTCTTCTATAGAGCTGCAGTTCAGGTTTGTTTCGGAACTTCCGTGCCTGAATTTGATTGTAATTGCCTAGAGATGTTTGAGAAATAAATTTTGAATGTGCTTAAAATTTGTGTTGTATGTTTGAAACCATCTATAATGAAACTCTTATTGGAATTCTACAGGGCGCACTGGCTGATATATTTTTACGAGGCAGTAATCTTATGCAAGATGTTCGAGGAATGGCGTCTTTGGTATGTCTACCATTTTCTTTATGTTACAAATATTCGAAACTAAGTTTCATTTCGGTAACTGACTTGTAATTTATACGGTAATATGCAGACAGGAGTTCTGCCGCCGTTTGTTCCATTTGCTCAAGCACTTGCAGCTGTACTTACCGCTATCCTTACTGGTTCTCTCTATTACGTCGCAGCCTCTCCTAAAGGTTACTTTTCCGTTTATCCCATTTTACATTTTTCCTTTTTATGTAGCTTATTTTTGCAAGTTTGTTCTCAGCCTGATTAATAATAACCATCTTTTTTCTCGCTCTCTTTCAGATCCTACCTATATCGTTGCACCGGTTTTACAATCTCGCACCAGTCGTCAAGATTTGAAAAAGCTCTTTGAAGGTTCATTTCTTTTCTCGCGCTGCTTAACATTATGTCGGTCAATTCGTATCTATCATAATTGTAAACATTTTAGGGGAGTGAGTTACATTTCTTATCAACTAAACCATGTTATCCGTAGAATAAAGTCTCGAGTGATTACATTTGTCGTCTTTATACCTGCATATTTTTGTGCGAGTGATACCTCAACCCGATAATCCATTTCATTTTGGTTTGCAGCTTGGTATGAGAAAAGGCAAATGAAGAAAATCTATTCACCACTTCTGGAAGGACTATTGGCGCTCTACCTCGGTTTCGAGTGGATCCAAGTAAAATCCTATTTATTTCATCTTTGAAAAAAATATTCATTATCTTTTGTCTAAGATTTCTAAGAAAAGAAACTAATTTGTGTTTTGACAGACAAATAATATTCTTTCTCCGATTATCACACATGGGATTTACTCTACTGTTATACTGGGACATGGCCTTTGGAAGATACACGATCACCGGCGAAAACTAAGACAAAGAATCCAACAGCTGAAATCAGAAGAAAGAAATTCCAACTAGATTTTGAAATTTCCTCCATGACTGATTTTTGTGGAAAATCTGTATATGTATTAGAGGTGTTAATAATGTAAAGAGAAGATGTGTATACTTATATGTTAGCTGAGTTCTCATACCTAAAGATGCAAAGTTTTGATTACAGGATTCTCTAATTCATCATCAGTGTTTGTAATAAAAATTGGAGTAATCCAAAAGTTGTGTTAATTTAATAAAATAGCATTTCAATTTTCTCAATCAAATTATATTGTTCAAATTAAGTGTCCCTTTGATATATCTCATTATTCTTTTGGATGCAAGCAAATGTGAAGTTCTAGGCTCACTCATAAATCTACTAATTGTCCCTATTGCATGTAGAATGTGGGACCTGTTGTGACATAGATACCTCAATGATCTTGTGACTTGTTTGAACAAATTTGCATCCATTAGTTCTTCTTTTTCATTTTTTCTCAAAGTTTCAAATTAACTTCTGCAGGAGTTAAGGCTGAATTGAAATCAAGCATGTTTGAATCTTTTCAACACATTCAATACTTACTTTCTCAGGTGCACGATTAATCCTTTGGTAGTTTCCACAAACTCCATTACCAATAAATAAGTCAATTTTCCAAAATCAATCATTTCAAATCGACTCATCATTTGTTTTTTTTAATTCTTTGATTTCAACCATGTTGTTGCCGGTGACCAACATAAAATTTACATATAGAAAGATTGACACCACTTATGAGCCATTTCCTTTCTTCACATACACACACATCTCACAAAGTTTTGTTATATACATGCTCTTTGTGCTTGTTTAAAGCTCTGCATGGTAACTGCATTTTAGCGTTTAGTTTATAGTTTTTAAACTAGTTTTTAATTTTTTTTCAAATGCTATTTGAAGTAGCTTTTGAGCTTGTAACTTTTAACTTATGATTTTTTATTCCAATTATATCTTTATTATTTTAACTAGCCAAACTCATAAAACTTATATACAAATTTATATATTTTGATGATATCTTCAATTTTTCATATATATTAAAATTTTTTTATATGTTGTTATTAATACATTTACTTTTATCAAATAAAATTTAATTTAATTATATATAATAAGATAATGAAATTACAAAATTCTTAATTAAAAATGTCCTTTTAGGTCGTTTTATAATTATCAGTTAGTGTAACAGCTAATTTACCAAACACTCAAATTAACTTATCAACTACCAGTCATTAACTATAAGCTATAAGCTATCAGCTACCAGCTATCAATTATAAGCTAGTTTTACCAAACAGAGCCTAAGTCCATACAAACTCTTTGAAAAGTAAATTATGAGTTTAAAAACATTTTAAATAATTAGTAAAATAAATAACATAAAAAAAGTGTTAAGGGAAAGAAATGAACACCAGGATGTATAGAAGTTCGGTCAAACTTATCCAAACCTTAAATCTTGCTTTTACTACCAGAATAATCTCGAAACTTATCCAAACTTTTATCACAGGCTAAACTCTAACATAATCTTGGTTTTATACTAGACTGACATAGAATTTATAAGATTTTAATACAAGTTAATCTCGAACCTAAACTAGATTTTGATCACACAATCACCAAACCAAAGCTTTTATGGGTTTAACTTATGACCCAAACAATAACCCTAACTGGATAATATTCAGTCAAGGTGTATGCAAAAGATTCCTTTGGTGAATTTAAAATTCTATCCTTCTAGAATTACAACTTATTTTCACTCGGAAAAAAATAAATCTCCCAAAAGCACTTGGGTCTAATTTTAGTGAGAGAAAGTATATATATATATATATATATATATATATATATATATATATATATATATATATATATATATATATATATATATATATATATATATATATATATATATATATATATATATATATATATATATATATATATATATATATATATATATATATATATATATATATATATATATATATATATATATATATATATATATAGAGAGAGAGAGAGAGAGAGAGAGAGAGAGAGAGAGAGAGAGAGAGAGAGAGAGAGAGAGAGAGAGAGAGAGAGAGAGAGAGAGAGAGAGAGAGAGAGAGAGAGAGAGAGAGAGAGAGAGAGAGAGAGAGAGAGAGAGAGAGAGAGAGAGAGAGGAATTTCAAATAAATGCATTTTATGACAATCTAATCGATTGACAAGTGTTTACAATCGATTAGAAGTTTGAAATATACTCTCTCCGTTCCATATTATAAGCAAATTTTACTTTTTTTAGATACATTGAATAATTAAGGTATTTGGTCTATATATAGACCAAATACATTAATTATTCAATGTATCTAAAAAGTAAATTGCTTATAATATGGAACAGAGGGAATAATCAATTGAAAATTTAAAAAAGAAAGGAATAGATATTTATTTGGTGTACATCATTAGGAGAGTGTCCTAATCACTTGACTCAATTTTGAACAGTGCTAATCAAATTGACTAAATTTCTAATTGATTAGATAAGTCAAAAGCTCTCATTTCATCTGACACAACTTCAAGATATTTTTGAAGATATTTTCTTGAAGAAAAGCTATTTAAAAAAGTGTTTTAGTGTGCGTGTGCTTTAACCATGCGCTTTTACGCTTTACAATTGGTTTACTCACTACTAATTTAGAAGGGTCCTTAGCACTTCAAGACTTTGCCCAATGCATACTCTTTTATAGACACTTGCTTGAGTAGCTTGAGATGAGGCTTCAATTATATTTCATTTGATTGCCATCATCAGATAGCCAAATTCATCAAACCATAATACCTAGGTTTGCATCTTTATCCGCTTAACCGCTTATGCTTGATTTGTCAGAAGAGATTAGTTGTCATCATAAAAAGTTGATGTCCTTGTTAAAAGTATATCACCTGCTAAACAAGGTTCCACATTCTCCCTCTTTTTTATGATGAAAACACATATCTCAAGGGATGTGGCAAAGGAAAACAACACATGTATGTTTGGAGTAATTAAGCTCCCCCCGAGTTAAATGGACATTATACCCTACTCCCCTTGAGAGTATACTTCACCCCCTTTATCAAAATAAAAAAGGCGGGTAAAGATGCATTTGCAAAAAAAAAATGCAAATAAGGGTAATTTATACATTTAGCGAAGGAAAAACAAAAACTCATATTATTACTTAAGAAACTCAAATTACAAAAGGGAAATTTGCGAAATTGAAAGTACAAGAAGGAAAAATACTGAATTTAAAGTTTGCACGAAAGAAAAAATAGGAAAAACACATAAAGTGAGATTATTCTATGCCATAAGTTTCACCATTTCTTACCATGAATTTCTTCACATCCTCATCTATTATTTGACAGAGATTGAGTATTTTGTCTAGCTTGGTTTCCTCATCCTCAATAGATTCATCTTGTTCTTTTTCCTTAAATGATGAATCTTCTTCTATCTCTCCATGCTAGATGTGAACTCTAATCTCTTTCAAGGAATTGTAGGTGATCTTATAATTTTTTAAGTCTTTTGTTTCATCTATTGTGTCAAGATTGAAGGTGGCTAGAAGTATTATGATTATTGATCCATAATGTTGATTACTAGGTGGTTGATGATAGTGGAATGCTTACAGTTCTTGAAGCCTATTGGTTTATCAAGAGTACAAGTCATCCCTTCAAAGGGAAACTCAAAGATTCTCCCAAAGTGGTCTTTGTGAATGGCGATTTCCACTCCTCTTACATATTTTCTTAGAAAAGATCATACAAGTCTTATGTTTATGTAGAATTCTTTTACTAAGCTTGCGAAGGTCCTATCAGGTATTTAGTTGAAGTGATATTTGAGGGAAGCCTGTCATATTTGGTGATACAGCTTGTGGCTTTTCAAGAGGCTTGCATCAAGGTACCAAGCTTGAATTACTCTCTTGGAAAGGATTATCATCTTTTCTTTTTTGCTTGCAGTTTATTAACCCTGCAATGAAGGGATTTGTTCTTGGTGTATCTTTGGATTTTTGGCTTGAGAAGGCCATGGTAATAATTACAGCAAGAAAAGAAGGATTCACACGAGAAATGATGTAAGAAAGTATGAGATTCAAGAAATAGTTAGGGGGGAATACCTATTTATACATTGTCATATGAGAATTTGAATTCACTTTAAAGTGAGGGGAGCATACCTATTTATCTCAGTTGCTCAGCTTCTTATAAAGTGATTCCTACATGAATTCACTTTAAGTTAACATAACGTCAAATTTGATCCGCTTCTTATTTCGAATGGTTTCCAGTCTTGTGACTTACTCCTGAGCCTTCTTACAATGAGTCTAGTATTATGGCTTACTCTTGGGCCTTCTTACAATCAGAACTTATTTACTTGTTTGATAGATTTTCTTTTAATCGTTTCATTATATTCTCCATTGACAAAATGTACCTCCATCCCTTGTTTGTAATTTATATTCTTTTTTCTTGATTTTATTTCCTTTAGATAGATCATTAATCAAGATTTAAACAACAAAAAAAGAAAAAAATAAAGTCAATCCTTTTAAAAAAAAGAACAAAAAATAAATACTCGATCTAACCTCGATCATTTTTCTCAAATCAAACCGTTTCAATCCAATTCCACTAACCAAACTTCTATCATTTCACATTCAAATCATTTTCAAACCCTCCAATCACTTCAAACATTTTTCATAACCATAAAAAGCCTCGATCAACATCGAGTTCATTTTCCCAATCAAAACTTCAAAACATTTAAAAATATCAAATACCTTTTAATAAACAAAAGATATTTTGTCTCGGGACGATGCAACATAATGCATCATCCACAATCGTGTGAGTTGAGATAAATGGTGTTTTCCCGTGAATGTTGATAGCCAGAAACTCATTCAATGTGATGCAAACACTCGCTCCTCACCTATTTTGGGTAAGTATTATTTCCGTCGATTGATACCAAATAGCTTCCGCTAAAATCAACCAACCAACAAACATTTTCTATCCAGAACTACATAAGCCTTGATTTCTCTATTGCACCTTGAGATAAATAGGAGCGAGATTCAAATTCTTGTCAGAC